TGGCTGCATCAGGGCAGATCCATGTGGTTTCTCCCCAAGGATGTCTCCCAGGAAGTGAGCCGAGAGAGAGAAGTGTCTCCTGCCTCCAAGGAGAAATACAGAAGTTCCCAGAATCCTCAGGAGAAGGCCATGCCCACACAGAGGCCTCATTGGCTATGATCCGATTGACAGATCGATTAAGAGTGCTCCACCCCTGCACTCTTAATCCTCAAATTGACCAGCGATTACGTAACTACCACACCTGGGTTCCTTTCATGGACTGTCATACGGTCAGTCTCAGCGATAGCTTCGGGGTTCGGGGTCGAGTGGCGGGCAGCCTCAGTGCAGCTTACGAGGGGCTCTGGGTATCATGGGACCTCGATGGAGCGGTGACCAAACGGAGAAGGACCCCAGTGCCATGGAGCCAACTGTGTCGGCTAGCAACCCTGTAGGACAGCGTAGACCTGCCCCGGAGGGTTTCCGAGGCCGCAGATCTTTGTGGGAGCTGACATATAAATCTTTATAGGAGCGAACAGCCTCAGCTTTCTCCCTTGGAGCAACTGGTGACTTTGAAACACCGACCTTGCAAATGGCGGGCCCAAAGCTTAACTGGCTGCACCACAGGGCTCCTTGCCTGGTTGTGCAAAGGGTGAGCTGGAGAGCGGGGAGGGGAAGACCACCAGCCCTCAGGGGTGACCACCGGGCATGCTATGTGCATGGTGGGTGTGACCTCCCCTTTATGGGATGTTGGGTTGTGTCACGTGACACGGATGTGTCCCGGGCGATGAGCAGAAAAGATCAGCCGGTGGAAACCACCAGGGGCTCCGTGGGAGACCAGTTGAGACTGTCCATGCCAGTGAAGAGTGACTGAAACCCACAGGGGCCGTCCTGCCCTGTCCCCTAGGGTTGATGTGAGCCAGCGTGGACGGGGGCTGTCAGCACTGCTGGATGATGGTGGGGAGCGTGTTTGTGTTACGTTTGCGTGCCTGTGTTCCGCTGCATCGCCTTGTATAGTGACATGTTATGTGGTTAGGGCCTGATGTGTTCTGCAGTCTGCTACATTTCCTTGTCATATGAGTGTGTGATGACAGGAGCCCCGGGGGCGGGGGTGTGGGGTGTGCAGACAGGACAGGGAGGCACGCTGGCTGACTTGGGAGACTCTGCTTTCTGAAAGTGGGGTGAGCACGCGTGGGGCCCTTTCCCACGTCGCCCGCCGAGGAGTCCAGCAGCCAGGACGACCATGGGTGTGGGAACGGTGAAGGTGCTGGGCTGCTACCTGGAGGGTTGAAGGCTTGTGCCCGCCTACCCAGAGGGAGCTCAGCAGAGAGGTCTGGCAGCCTAGTTTCGAAAGAGCCAGCCGCTGGGAACACTCTTTTGCTGGGACAACGCCTGGGCTTGCCGTGGGACAGAGGGGAGGGGAAGGCAGATGTGAGGAGCACAGCGTCACAAGACATGCACCCGACGACGGAATGTAACGCAGCCACGTGATAGGCTGTCGTGGTGGTGAGTTCTGCCGGCTCCAACTCTGGCCGCCCCACACGTGTGGAGAAGTCCACAGCTCCATCTGGGTCTCCCGGCGACCCGCTAGGACAGGGCAGAACTGCCCCGGTGGGTTTCTGAGACGGTAACTCTTTATGGGGGTAGAAAGCCTCATCTTTCTCCTGTGGAGCAGCCGGTGGTTTTGAACTGTTGAACTTGCG